CACGCGAGGCTAAAGAACCAGTGTCTCTCTTTCTCTCTCTCTCTCTCTCTCTCTTTCTCTTTCTCTTTCTTTCTTTCCTCTCGCGATTTTACAGCGCCTCCTCTTCGTCATCCTGTCGTCGCCTCACGAATCGCAGATCCGCCGCATGTCCATTCGGCGATTTTTAATGTCGGGCCCGGTTGACCGATGCTCGGAGACGCGTGTAACAATGGCCGATCTGCTGCTCGACGCGACATTCCCTGGTACCAGGAAAATTATTGCACAGATATCGAAGAGCAGAGAGATGTTCCTCAAATCGGGAAATCCGGTTTCTGAATATTTTTCAACGCAGTCGGTCTGCGATCGTTTTCTTTCTAGTCGCAGTGTTTCATAACGATTTCTTGTTCATTCAGGACCCGTTATCATAAATATCTTCTTGACGCTTTTCTGATCACAGATCCTCCAGTTGAGGAGGTTTGGTGAAATACAATACATTGGGTGGCAAGTTCGTTCTAGGATCCAGACTTCAACTTTTGCTTTTCATCTTGGCACGCGATTATTTTATAAAGAATTAAAAACACGCGGTTACCGAGATTCCTTTCACGAGGATATTCCAGGGAAATTCCAAGCATGACGTCGATGAAATACGTTCAACAAATATCTTGAATTTAGAATCACTGGAACGATCGCTGAATAGCTGACCCAATCGCTCTATCAACGTCCTTGCGTCATGCACTATCGTCTGAAGACGATATCGTTATCAGATTATTTGATCGATCGTTGATACCTTTATACGCTCGATTACGCTCGAATTGAGTTCGATTACGATAGGAAACTCGTAGTCGAACGTTAACAAGGAACGACAGAGATTGTAAAACATAGTTCCTCCAAAGTATATTCGTCGAGAATGAAACTGCACGGAATATACTGAAGATAAATTTCTTTCGAGTTAAACGTTGTACAATAATCTCGATGAAACTGCGTATTGCGATATCGCACTTTACGGCCACGTAATTAATTGTGCGTGCAACGAAGGCGTCCGCTTAAATTGCAGTCGACCTGAACTAAACACCTTCGCTGTTTCCGTACGTTGCATTCACCCAGAAGGTCGTATTTGAACACCTTCGCCGAGATTCGCGGATATCCGTTCTGTCTGAATAGATGGCTTGATTGAAAATATATGAAGGAAGCCAGCACATTGTCTGCCAGCTTTTAACGACACTTCGTTCAATTTCTTTCGTTACGGCTTGGGATTCCTCAATTTGGATAATACCGATCACGCTGTACGTTACTCGTCTGCTTGTTTTCTTCTCTAGAAAACATACGTAGATGCCAATACGAGTGCAAATTAGTATAATATGTTAAACACAAGATTGATCACAATGATGAGAACCAAGGATACTGTCGAAAGCGCATTCATTCACTAATGGTACTCGTTATCGAGTCGTTTTTAACAATCCTCCACGGTTGTCTATCGTGGATTGTTGAATTAATTCACTTTTGCTTGACATAAATTCAATGGATATTACAAACTTCACAGATGAGTAGTATAATGGAAAAATGCTCCTTTGTACCTGTATTTTAAATTGTTCAGGCAATGCATCGAATTACATTCCTTGAATTACATTCTTGTATTATTAAATGCACTCTTGAATTGCAAATGTAAGATTCATTTTCCTGACGTTTAGAGATATAAGAGAATTTGAACGTGAACTGAATACTTTCACATGGCGCATGTTCCACGAGGCATTGATGTCTCCAACGTTTTAGAAATGGTCACTTCGTGATATTCTAATAAGGATTAAGTCCTACTCTTCATTTTCATAGTAGACTCTTCCACAATAATCCTACAAATATAATGATGCTTTTAACATTATTAAAACGTTGTCAAATTTGAACTTACGTAAAAAAAAAAAAAACAGTTCAACTAAATTATCAAAGGGAAGTGAAAAGAATATGAGTATAGAAATATCTGTTGAAGAAATTAACATAGATTTGTCAAATTTCGATAATGAGGTCAAAAGTTTCTACTTTAAGCAACGAAATTAAGAAACAATTAGCTGGCTTAGAAAATACGCAGATATATATATATATATATATTTATTTAAAAATTGTCGCGATAAAGATTCGAGAAATCAAAGTTCTCCAATATGGCGACCAAGTGGTAGCCTTTGTGCAACCACAGCTTTATTATGTCAGTGCTCGCCAACAGATGGCACAACATTATCAACATGATGATCGTAGTACAATAAATACACAATTTACGTTTTTAGTATCTACTGCTCTCTTTTATTTATTTCATTGACTAACTAGGAGAGAACGTACGACCAATGCTTTTTTTAGGTTTCACATATTTTGGGATTCACCTGACTCGTGTACCATTTTCGTGTGGCATTCTACCATATCGATTGCACCGCAGCGCTGCTAAATTTTGACTAATAACTTATAACAATCGACTCGTAATTAAATATAAATTTAAGACAAATGACGTGAATTATTGAATGAAACATTTAATTTAATTTTAAAGTTTAATCGTAATAGAAAGGTTGTGAAAATTATATTAAATAATGTTTAGAAATGTTATAGAAATAAAATAATTTGATTCTTTTATAAAACTGTAAAATAATACATTTCTATGATATTTTTGTATATTATTTAATCAGTGATTGAATTCCTTATATTTCTACGCGTTATTCCATAGTTTGAATAATTCATTTATAACAATTAAACTATTTTATTTGCAATAATGGAAAAGATAGTTACATTATGTATATATATATATTTCTTGTTCTCCGGAACAATAAATAAGCGAAAATTTTTATATATTGCACGATTATTCAGAAGCGACGATCACTGCTTAACTTGATTTTTGACTTGCTTTGATCTGTTTTCCAGAAACTTCCAACACTTCATCTTTCGTGGCTCGAGAGAAAATAATAAAAAAAAGGAGAAGAGAATGAAACGAAAGAAGAGCAGAAAAATTCGTTCGTTCATTTTTGCAATAAATGACACTGTATATCAGAAACTTCTGCAGAAATTTGCTTAACACTTCTATCGAAGGACACGAGAACTGCAATCACCGTGTGGTTTTATTATAGAGAAGCCAGATATAAAGGCTATTATTCTCATTGTTGGCCTGTTATCTTTTCTATGCGAGTCGAGACGCGGCGAAAGATTAATGTCTTCGTACTACTAAGATCCGTCGCAACAATTTGTAATTTCGACGTACACGTAAGTAAAATTTTTTACAGAAAGGGATAAATATTCTTTTCTTTTCTTTCTTCGTTACTAAACTTACTTAGAATGTAATCGTGTATTTATGAAAAATCTAGAAATGCAAAAATGTATAGAAGCACGCACGTGCTACAGACATTGTGACATTCCGATTTTTTAATAACACGACGAATTTTAGATTCCTTTGGATCATTCATTGGCATTGACACAATGACCAAATGTAATCGTGGAGTTTCGAGATAAAACCGGCTAGCAATTGTAGGTGATTAGAATTTCATTCAATCTACGATATCACTCCAACATTTAATGGGCCGTGTAATTTGTATGAACAATCGTTTGTACATGATGTGAATAACAAATATCACGTCATGTGTCAATAAAATGATAATCGGCTTAACGTTATACGTAAATCTTTTGTCTTTTCAACGAATATCTCTACACGCACCGATAAATCAAATTATCGATTTCGATCGAGCGAAATCACAATGATTTGCATATTTCTATCAAAATTCAAATTTCTTTGCTTATATATTGCTAAACAAATAATATATATATATATATATATTAAATACATATAAATGTTTTGATATATGAACAAAGAAATATTAAATAAATTCAAAGTCAAATAAGCCTCAAAAATTGGTTTATATGATCTTTTTTGTAAAAATGAAATAAATACAATGAACGATACATAAGGTTCAGAAAATTTTTTTATAGATCGTCAAGTTTCATGGTTGCGTATATAGTGAGGTATTTCAATGTTTCAAAAAAGTATACATCTGAAATATATTCTGAATCTTTTAAATAATATTAAAGTCTGATTTAATGAAATTGTCCTCATTTTCATATTTTGAAATCAAGATGGATACAAGTCAAAACATAACATTCATTGTGATATAAGTGACCCTAATCCCCAAGATTGTACATAATATTTATAAACACTTATCGACTCGTATGATCTTTAACTCTAACGCCAATTCCGGATAAATAAAAATCAAACTTATTTATAACAGCCAATAATTATGTTTTAATGTAATAACAAATAATATCATTTTAAAACACTGCATATTTAGTAACTTTCGATCGTCAAAAGCGATTTAGTATAAATACGAATGGGTGAATTATTTTATTTTAATGCAATTTGAATTTTTTTCTAGAACTGAAAAAAATTTAAGATTTCTCTTTATGGTAACAAGAATAATTTACCTTTATTCGATAATTTCCTGTTATTTCTCGAATCTCGTAGAAGGATTGCATTCTCTCCTCGTGAAAAAGGAATAAGAAACAATAGTAATAAAAACAGCGAAACTTTTATAGAAGTACAAAGCAGAAAATATGAGGATCACGAGAGAAGAACTGAAATCATTAGTAATATTTCAATATTTTCAAAAAGACAATACTTTAAAAAATTTCGAAGAATATAAAAAGAAAACTACGAACTTGCCTCTGAACGTCAATCGGCATTACTAGATTTCCAAAAAAAACCCTCTCCTTAAGAAAATTATAATCTTCATCCTGATAAGAGAGTTATAAGACAAATAGTAAGATATACAGGACGTAAAACTTAGAAGCCAAGATATAGTAACCTAGTAAAATAGTAAAGTAAACTATTATACTTTACAACAAACAAACAAATTTCGACAAAACCGAAGATCACGTAACAGAATCTGGTTGCGAAAGCAAGTTCGGAAGAAACAATAAAAATACTCGGCTATGTGCAACTATGCGCAAAGCGTTCGAAATATTCCAGTCTGAGTAATCTCAAGCTCGTCTCGTCGAGGCTCGACGTTGTTCACGCTTCGAACACGCCGACAGATTCAGCGAAAACTTGAACTGGGCCGCGAAACCTCCGGTTGCAATTGCTTAATCAAGAAGAGACAGCGGCATGGAAACGAGTGACGAGTGCGCGTGCACTTGCACTCGACGATAAATCAAAGGACGAGATCGGGAAAAAGAAGACGCGGGTGAGACTTCGTTACCGCGCGCGATCGTTTGAAAAAATTCGATAAGCATTGAACCCGGCCTGGCGACTGTTTCTATATACTCTTCCCGATTCGGTCGATGGATCAGTAGCAGTTCGCGCCTCGTGCAGTGTAAACGCTTCTTCCTCACACTTTCGAAACTATCGTCAAATCGACTTGTCTGTAAATCTGCGTCGACGTTGTTCAATTCGGTAATCAATTTCGTCGAAGAAATCATTTTTTTCAATCCGAGCTATTCTCGATACAGTCGAAAGTTCGGTATCATCGAAACATTTTTTTCTTTCTTCTTCTTCTTTTCAATTGGCACACTTTGAAATTATCGTCCTTCGATCTATTACTTTCAGCAAGAACATTCGAAATTGAATATCTCTTCGACAAAGTGTTAATATATTGGATAATTAAATTTTACTGTTACGTTAAATAACTTTGCTCAATCGAATCTTCACTATAAACTAGATAAAGCTAAAATATATCGTGCGGACTGAATGTGTTTGAATAATATTTTTCGAACGGTCGCAGGTTTGTCGCAGAACTTCGCAATATCTGTACAAGTCTACATCATATTCCAATATTAGAATATAATGATATTTTTATGAAACCCCATCGGAAGTGGGGTTCTTCGAGATTTATCGAGTATAAGATGATAGATCGTTGACGAAGTAACAAAGGAAAACATGGAAGAACAACCGGCCACTATGGAGATGTCTGCTCCAATCAAGGACTTTAATGAGACATCGGAGAATACTAAAAAACCAGGTATGTGTTGAACTGATTTTATGGTATCTTTAAAGAGAAGATAATATTCGATGTAGGTATTTTTCACTAGAATTAAAGTGAAGTCCTGAATGTTTTTACAAAATTGTTGAATTTTTTAAATATTTCATTGCAGAAACGGAATCCACGAGGATCAAAAAGGGCGAAGTGCGTGATATAATTATCAATGAGATGCAAGGGCAGATGCAGGTAAGTTGAAAAATTAAATTTATATCGATTTTCAATTTATAATTGATTTCTATTTATTTCTGTGTGTTCTGAGCATTGCCTTCCTTAATCTAAGCCAAATTTCAAAACTCAAATCTATGGTAACTGAACAATTTTTCGCAAACGAGTGCACAATCGATCTAATTAATTTTCGTCAAATTTCCATCATTACTGAATTACTTACTTAATAACAATTATTGTAAAAAGACTGAAAGATAAATTATCTTCCCAATAATACATCTTCTTCTTTTTTTTTTTTTTCTATAGGAAATCAGACAAGACATTTTGGAGATTGTGAGTAGCCGAATGAACGACATGATCTCAGAAGTAATGAGCAAAATCAATTCAAAGGAATTGAAAGATCTGCTGGACTCAGAGAAATACTCTAATAGAACGTAATTATATAATCGCTCTCAAACCTTCATATTACACGCTCTATTCTCACATTACTTTCCATTTACACTTCGTTGTACACGTTGGTGTTAATTTTATTTTTATTCACGAGCGTGATGTGCTTCTTCGTTACAGATCCATCCTCCCAAAGCAACCAGCCATAATACAAATTACATTTTAAATTAAATAAATGACGTTGTTTGTTTTAACTGTCGTAGAAAAGGTCAGAAACATCTTTCGAAAGAGAATTTTTTTTAATTTAAAAAACAAGTTAAAACAAATATTTGTATTTTGTTTCAATTGCATCCAAGATTATTTGACAAGAGTGTCTCTATCTCTTAGGGAAAAATTGGTGGCAATTTTCGAATGAATAATCCACGCCGTGAAACAAACCTAATTCGAAAGATCATTCGAATACACGCGCACTTAACCGCTTTGACCTGATTCGACACTTTTGATATAGACTCTAGCATGTTTGTACACAATATATAGAATGTAAAGAAATAATGATATTAACATTAAAAGAATAATAAACAATATCATAGAATTACGAAACTGGAAAGATATTATTTTATACGCTAACATATTAGTGTGATTTTATACATATATTTTATGACAATTTACATACATACGAACGATCAAATACGAAAAAGAACTAAACCAAAAAGAATTTATATAGACAAAAGATTCGAATTTAATATCTTTGAAAAGATATTTAAAAAATCTTATCATATGTAATAAAAAAAAAAAAAGAAATCGATCTATCATATCTGAGAAGAACTTTAAACTGTGTTTGAACAGATTAATAAGCAAAAGAAGCCAGGAGATGAACGATAAAATAACATTTGTCGTTGCTATCATATACATACGTGCTATGAAAACATGATAAAAATGTCAAATCGTGATACATTGAAGTGCATGCGTACTCGCTGTTTTCGTGATACCAATAATTTCAGTGCATTTCAGTGCATTTCTTTTCATTTTATCATATAACACGTATTT